TTTATGTTTGTGATATAGTTGATTGTCTGTTTGTTAATAAATTACGTGATAATTGAGATATAAGAATTCATCCTTCGTTCAGCTGGAAATATGCTATAAGGAAGGTATCTATTTATCGTTATTTGATTGAGACGGATAAGAGAATGAATATACTGTAGCCCCGTATATATATATACCTAAGATTAGAGGAGGAACTTTGATAAGCTTCACTGGAGTTATCATGAAGGTATGACTGTCTCTTGACGTGGTTCGTTGTACAGCCACAAATAGATTATTCAGATGTCTTTGTGATATTCTCACCATTGTTAGCTTATATCCTCTTCATTGCTTTAATTTTACTAACAGGATTTCATCATCTTGTTTGATAGATATTGTAGAAGTTTTATTTGAACGATAGTCCGACACAAGCTTTACTTTCGACTGGATAAGTTAAATCAGGAAAGTAATGGATAAGTGAAATGCATTAGTGTTCGTAACACATACGTTGCATACGTTTGACAATTGCGCCATACTTTATCCATACCTTCGACCGCTAAATTATTAAGATTATTCATTCTGTCAGATATCCGATTCTTAATTGGACTGTCATGAAATGAGAACAAAATCTGGTGTCTTTTAACTGATGATAAGAAAGCTAGCCAAAATAGTGATTGAATTGTAGTAATCTTATAAATTATTATTTAGTTTTATTTAATTATATATATATATATATATATTTTATTTTCATTTTTTTTTCCTTTTATTATTAACCAATTTAAAAATGAAATTATTTCAGATGTTGTTAGTGGAATAAACGAGTGGCAACTTATTTTGATAACTTATCCTATCATTAAAAAAAAACGTCGTCTTGTTCGAATTTCTTTAACTTTCAATTGTGAAGATACGGTGAAGTATGCAAATAAATTCATTACCAGGAAAATTACAGTATCAAGAGCACGTAAGTGGAACTGAGAAAATTTTTTAATGATTTTTTGATTTATGGGAATTTTAGAATTTGCAACAATTTCAAGTGACAAGTATTAAATAGTATTTTATTTGAAAGAATTAAAAAAAAAAGGATAATAAAGTACTTGTTAGAAATGGGAACAGATAACTTAAACATAATGATGATGATGTATCGGCTATTCAATAGAAATTTATCTCAGTCTAATTACATAGCAAAATATAAGAAGACAAATAGCAGACCAATATTTTGCCTCAATATAACTTGCTAGTAATGAAAAATTTTAATTTGAAAAATGAATTATCAATTTGTCGACTTTCAGCACATTTAATTACCAATGTGATAAGACCACGTCGTCATGTATTGGTTATCATTAATCCCTTTAGTGGCCAGAAACGTGGATTAAAATTATGGGAAGAACATGTTGAACCAGTTTTACAAATTGCCGGCATTAATTATGATATTGTTAAAACAGGTTTATTTTTTCTTCGCATTTCAGTTTTCTCTTTTTTTTTTCTCTCTTGCTATAGAAATTTGTTGAAATGCTGTCTAAATCAGTTCATTGAAATTTAAAATATAATAAACCTCCAAACATTTCAAGTTCATCGAAAACATGCAGTTGAAATAGCAAGAAATCTTAATCTCGATAATTACGACGCTGTAGCTGCTGTTAGTGGTGATGGATTGATACTGGAAGTAATATCAGGTTTTCTGATACGACAGGACCGTGAGCGGGCGCTAAAGATGCCGTTAGCGCATATACCGGGTGGTACAAGTAATGGACTTGCAGCTAGTATATGCTTTCAATGCAAGTAAGGCATGCTATTTTAATTTTTGTTTTAGTTAGTTCTTTTTTTAAGTGAAAATTGTTGCTAAGGTCTTTTTTTTTTCCCTCAATAGATAATCGTTCACTGCATGAATTGTCTAATAAACAATAAAGAAAAATTATCAACTACAGCTAATTTATAATTTACAGATGATTCAGTGTAATTTTCGCTAATTTTCAGCGAACCATTCCCACCACGTGGAATTTTTTGTACCGAAATGGCTTTGATGTTAGCGCGGCCACGTTATCTTCCGTTACGTATTAGTCATGTACAGACGGAACACGATGGTAGCAAGGCAATGTTCATGTCGCTTAGTTGGGGCCTTTTTGCTGATATTGGTTCGTTTCACTTCATTTATATCCGTCTATTTCAAGTGAATCATTGTATACCATAAAATGTCTTATTTTTATGCTTCTAATAGGATGTTTATGTTTCCAATAGGATGTTAAACTTCAAATATTTCACCATATACTACAATTCATTTAACGAGAGAAGCAAAGAAATTTATATGACTACTAAATATTTTAAAATACACTATACTAGATACTCTAGCATATGCCAGATGTATTACAGGTTTCGTTGATCTTAAGAAAATTTTCTGCAATAAAAACTATTTACTGCTCTTGGTTTTTAGGGATCATCAACTATTTGGTCATATAGTTCCTCTCAAATATTATCGAATGCTATATATATATATATATATATATATATATATATATATATATATATATATATATAT